ACTGCTCTTATTATCAGTGGTTGCTCAGTGAATGAGGAAACAGGTTATTTGTGGACTATGGTTTAAAATCATGAGGAAGAAACAATTTCTTCCTTTCCTTTTGCTTGAAACACTTTCCCTTTTCAAGCTACAAAAGTCTTATTCATTCTTCAAGGCCTAGTTCCAAAGCCATTTCTTCCAGGAATCTTTCCCAGCCCCACAGGCAAAGTTTATATGTTATCCCAGCTCCTATCTCATAGTACTGTAAAGATTTGTTTATGATATCCGCCTGCTCCATGGAAACTATAAACTCCTTGAGCAAAGGACAAAACTCCAAAACCAAACTCACTGCCCATTGAGTTTATTCTGACTCATAGTGACCACCATTAGGTTTCTGAGGCAGTAAATCTTTACGGAAGTAGATTGCTCAGTCTTCCTTCCACAGAGTGACTGGTGGGTTTGAACCACCAACCTTCTGGTTAGCAGTCAGATGCTGTAGGCACTACACCACCAGAACTCCTTGAGCAAAGAGCAAGATTTTACTTAATTTCTAGTCCTTGACATCTAGCTCTGGTAGCACAGTGTCTAAAGCATCTGACTGCTAACCAGAAGGTAGTGTTCAAACCCACCAGCTATTCTGCAGAAGCAAGACTGGGCAATCTATTTCCATAAAGATTTATTGCCTTGGAAACCCAATGGGGGTCACTATGAGCTGGAATCGACTCTATGGCAGACGATTTTTGGTTTGGACATCTACCTGAGGCCTGGCACATATATAATAGGTGCTCATGAAAGTTATGGTACATTAAATAAACCAGAGGAAGGAGCCCTGATTCAGGCTCTGTCACTTATTGACTTTGTTCCCTTTTAGTCTCAGTTTTTTTCTCCATTTTCCTTCTGAAGAAAGAAGATTGGATTAGGTCAACCAACATTTACCAAAAAGTGTTCTTCAGAACAACAACAACAAAACAAAACAAAGGCAAAAAACAGACACCATTGAGTTAATACTTACTCATGGAAACCCCATGTGTATAGAATAGAACTGTGCTTCATAGGGTTTTGAGTCTGTGACCTTTCAGAAGCAGATCACCAGGGTTTTCCTCCTAGGCACTTTGGGTGGGTTCAAACCACTGACCTTCATGATTAGTAATCAAACTCTTAACCATTTGCGCCACCCAGAGAACCAGTATGGTATGGTAGTTGTTGTTGTTGTTGTTGTTATGTGCCGTCGAGTCGGCCCCGACTCATAGCGACCCCTCCTTGGGTTTCCGAGGCAGTATCACTACGGAAGTAGGA